TTAAACAAAAGCTCTCTATATTCTTATTTGCGGTAATACCCAAGAATTAGAGGCTTTTCGGACCCGTGAGATGGAGAGCTGGTCAATAGTCAGTCCGCTGGAGTTTGGGAGGAGTTAGGGGCGTGGCTGATTACTGTGTATTAACAATATATATAAACTTTCTGCATGGAGTTTGCATGTTCTCCCTGTGCATGCGTGGGTTTTCTCCGGGTACTCCGGTTTCCTCCCACAGTCCAAAAACATGAGTCAGGTTAATTGGCCTCTCCAAATTGCCCCTAGGTGTGAATGTGTGTATGCATGGTTGTTTGTCTCTGTGTTGTCCTGCGACAGACTGGCGACCTGTCCAGGGTGTCCCCCGCCTCTAGCCCGGAACGTTAGCTGGAGATAGGCACCAGCAACCCTCCCGACCCCACTAAGGGACACACACACACACACACACACACACACACACACACACACACACACACACACACACACACATATATATACATATATATATATATATATATATATATATATATATATATATATATATATATATATAGAGCGAGAGAGAGAGAGAGAGAGAGAGAGAGAGAGAGCTAGCGAGATAGAGAGAGATGTTTTAAAGTGGGGGAACGGTATGTGATGGCCATATTTCACCCATCAGATACCGTTCCCCCTGTTTTTAAATACCAGATACCGCCTGCCCTTTAAAACAGGGGGGACTGTCTTGAATTTTGATTCAACGTTTTGATGGAGGTGGATAGTGTGATGAAAAAAAAAAAACTTTAACAAGAGTCTGGATGAGAAGAAATAAGACATTTATTAAAACCGTGCAAGGTGAGAACAAAAATACAGAGTCAAAGGAGTCTGTCAAGTTTGCTGAGAAAGTGAATTCTGGCTCATATTAAGACTCAGGTCAGAGAAGAGAGGCTTGATTGCACTCCAGGTGTGAATCTTTGATAGCTATGTACCAACGATTCTGTGGAACAAAACACAGATGGTCTTGCCATTTGTCTATTGTAAGGGAGTGAGGATTGTGATTTAATGCTAAAGAGGGCAGTTTTAATGTTGATAGGTTCTGGCTTGAGGAAAAAGTCTCAAGCATCAAGGACCTCTGCCCTGCTGTTACATGACAATGTAGAGGTCTACCTGAGAACAGCTTGAGCAATCTCATGATAAGACTATGCAAATAATCTTATTCAGGAATGAAAAGTGGCAATCTCATGGAACGGCCAAAGAGGAGGAGTTCTATTCATGTTCAGATGTGCATGCATTACAAATTCAACAAATACAGCTCTTGGCATGTATTTGGATATTTTGACCGATGGCATTGTGTAGAGGAATATAATTATATTAATAGTTAAAAGTCATGTTGTTGGATTGATTCACATTAAGACATGTTTTGACTGAAAAGAAATGTACTGTGACAAATGTACTGGGTCAATCTGACCTAGAAGTCAGAAAGGAATTCAGATTGGAGAGATGTGGAATAAACAATCACCAAAGAGGGAAAGGTTAAGTTGTTGTGCAAGAAACCTTTGGCAAACGTCTTTTCCTGCTTGCATGCGAGAAAGTCAGCCAGGACTGGGAAATAATCTTTGTTTGGACAGATAAGGAATCAACAACTTGACTAATAGTTCTTCTGATGGAGCAGATTTAATTTCCAGGATGTCAACCCCTAATTCTCGGAACTTCCAACACACATCCAGTGTAAGACGTAGCCAGAATTGCTATGCAAGCGAGGTTCGGTAACGCCATTGGTCAAAAGCTTTCCAATACACAACAGTAGGGCTGGAATGGTATAAAAACCTGATGTCAGAAGTAAGAGACAAGACATTTTGGATTCTGAGACGATGAAAATGTGATGTGTGAATCCGCAGATGTCTTCCTGTTTATCTATGAGCAGAGAGAATGGAGTTTGTGTATCATTTCTTATTTATGTATTCCATGAGGCTAGCACCTTTAAATTCCTCTATAATTGTTCCTCAATTTACGCAGCTGTTTTGGCTCACTTCATAATGAGTGTGTATTGGAGACCTCTGGTAAGTTCACAGTTGGACTGCTTTATAGAATTTTCCATTACAGCACAAAAGAGTATTCAATTTACTTTTTGGGATTCTGTATCTTCTACCGGAAGGCAAGAGCTCATATTCCATATACACGACATGGGACGGATCCAACAATACCCTCTGCACCTGGCTACAGAGTGCTCATAGGTGGACAGAAGGGAGAGCTTTTCAGTCTTCCTCAACACCTTCAGAGCAGTCCTTAACCGGGATTGCAACTTAGATTTAGACTGTGTGGAGAGATTGCCGAACCACACTGTCATCCTGATTACACTCCATCATTTTCATCATGTCTATGAACTCTGTGCAACGAGATTCAATGAATCTGCTATCTTTGCAAACCTTCTGTCCTTGGGTTTCAAACTATACAGGCATGTGAGCATTCTGTATGTCAGAGCTCAGGGCTCAACTCTGCTCTCAATCTTGTGCAAGATTTAAAATAAACCCGACTGAGAGCTTAGCTTAACTTCGGTTAGATGCTCCCTCTCTCTCTTTTTTTTATAGGCGCTCATTTAATGTTATGATTTGCTAATTCTGCACAAAAGTCTAATAATTTTGTTTTGGATATAGGTTTTGGAAAGACATAACACATATGAGCTGCCAATCTGAAGTCACAGCTAAGTTTTTGTCATACACACAGGGTTAACATGCAAAGGAGTCAAAGACTTGTAGTAGTTTTCAGTGGGTAGCAGTGTCTGTAACTTTCAACATGCTTGATTTCAATAGAAACATATTAGTCAAATTTGTACCCAGGTCTACGCCAATAGAATAAATTAATGAAAAGAGAAACAATTTGCACAAAGCAATGCAGCAGTACAGTGCGTGCCTTGTCCAAGGTCAGATTTGCAGGAGCAGGGTTTGGATATGTTTATCTACAGGTGTGTTGTTATTCTGTGATTTATATGTGGTAGTGTGTGTCTGGAACAGGATGGCATTAGGAGAGTAAAAGCAGACAGTATATGCTTTCTGCTCTTGACACAAGTCGGCTCCAGCTAAACTATGCAGATATGAGAGTACATTATTTATTTACTTTCTGATTGCAAAACAGAAGAGAGTTTTATGCAAATAAAAGCCCAAGATAGAGAAATTTGGCGTAAATTTAAACAAAAAACATGTAAGGCTGTGTATTTGTAAATCACTTGGCCGAGCATTAGGGTTTCTACATATTTTTCATGTGAAAAGTCCAAGATTTTAAGTAGTGTTATTTCGTTTTTGTTAAGTTTAACATAATGAATAAAAAATGTCACAGTGAACATGTAGCTGGATGGACAGACAAATAGGATTAATGGGATGGACAGATTGACAGATGAAAAAGAAGAAACTGAGACAAAGATGTGCAAATTAACATGGTTGGACGGACAGACGGTTGACAAAATAAATGAATGAGTGGATGAAAAGTGAGCAGCAGATGGACCAACATTTAAACAATGGTCATCAAATGTAAACAACCCTGTAGATTATTTAATTTAAACATAAAAACTCAAAACACACGTTATGCATATTGTTGCGCAAACCAGCATGCTAAGATCTTTCCAGTTTCATGCACAAAATAACAAAATATCAAAAATAAAAAGGCTGATGGTTAAGAAGTGACGATAGCATTATTCCTGAACTATGTTCTCTTTTCATGCGGAAGTGAAATTAGCCTAAGAAATATTAGTAATCCTTTTAATGTTAATATGTGGTTTTAAGAATTGTGATTAAATAATGCTCATGAAGAATTAATAAAAAAAAATAAGAATGAAAATGTGGTTGTAAGATGTATAAAACATTGTAACCTTGGTGCTGTAAGTAAGCCAAAGGTAAAAGTCAGTTAGGATCAGGATAGAACAAAGAAAAAGGAGAACTTTAAAACTGAGCATGAACGAATTTGGGAAGTATTTCCAGATGGTGTATGGAGAAGTGAGTCACTAAGGCGTTGACCATCATGGGAGAGAAGTTACATCGTCTTTGGCTATGTGCAACCAAGGGCGTTGACCAGTATGGGTGAGAAGTCAACCATGGGCCAAAAAGCACTATAACAGACCCTGAAAAGGGGAAGAGAGTGCATGGTTCTCGATGCAGAAGTCAAAGTCAACATGAGATGCAGACAGAAGACCTACAGAGGACGGAGGGACAAAGACTCTGCACTGCTGAAAAGGGGAGAAGCCAACAGCCCGAACCCATGATTCCTGATTAGACGGCCGTCCCTGACTCACACATAGAGATCTCTATCAGCTGCAACAGGCTAGGTCAATGGACGAAGATTCCACAATTGATGAGAAGCTGAAACATTCGGAGGACAACAAGAAGATCCATCTTACATTCATCCAGGGGAGGACTCTGCAGTGAAGAAGCGAGCCTCTCTCCAAGGACCTTGGGGTCACCTAAGGAAGGTAGTAGGTCGAATATATGTGATTTTAAATTTGTGTTGGACCTGAAATGACTGATTATTGATTTTCTGAATTTGCATAACCATATTAACCTTGCTTAAGAAAGATGCATTAAAAATTGTAAGATGAGTTGTGGATAGGACAATCAAATTAATTAATTGGGTCATTTTCCAGAATTGTAGAGGTTGTTAAGGATTACCGTAGATGATCTTAAACAACACCTCTGGAGCTTATGTTGAGCTACTAAAATTAATCAAGCCTATTAACAAGTGCTGGTTGTTAATTAGAGAGATATCTGCCATAAACAAGTGTTGCTTTTGGAGTTATGCAACTGCAGAGCTTCCCAGTTTACTGCTTCACTGAAAAAGGGTGTGGCACCTGGATAGTAGGGACAAAGTAGTGGTCAGATGAGTTTCTCCCGACGCCAGCTTAAACAGATCATCCCAAAATCCAAATCTTAGAGTAAGACTCGAGGGATTTAGGGATTTTCCGGACCTGGAGAGCTGGTCACGAGTCAGCCCAAGAGTTTAGGGGAAGTGGATGGGGTTGGTTAGTGCGCAAGAAAAACATCTTAATAACAATTATTAAGGAGATTTTATTTCCGATAGTGAACATTTTGGGCCACAAGTAAAGTTACAGATTGTTGTGAAAACTGGCAGGAATTGGTTGAGATCTTTCCAGGTTAACGCAGAAAACAGATCATGAAAACCTGAGAAACATAAGTAATCTTGCGTTTTGATTTACCGATGATTATAAAATGAGTAATCATGTGTTTAATGTAATGTAATGTGGATCAAGGTTAAAATGAAAATTACATGATTATTAAAAAGGATTATGTCTGAAGAACTAAATTAGCGATGATAGTGTTTAATGATTTATGATGATCATACAGCATATATAAAACTGTAACTGAAGTAATTATACCTTGTGTGAAATGTATTGACATATAACCTTCATGCTATGTTATAATTAGAACAAACGTCAGGGCCAGTAAACGGTCAGAGTTGAGCGAGAAGACAGGGGAACTCCAAAGAAGAACCAGAAGGTCTCACCAGAGCAAATTCAAGAAGCAAAACCAGATGGTGAGTGGGTAAACAACAGAAAAGGAGAAGTGAACAGGTCGTTGACTGATAAGGAAGGTCAGATACTTCACATGAACGCCTAGTGACTCAAGAAAGGCTTTGATGAGATGAGTCTCTCTTGACACCAGCTTAAATAGATTATCTCTTCTAAAGCTATCTTAGGGTAAGACTCGAAGGTTTTAGAAATTTTCCGGACTGGTTAGAAGGAGAGCTGGTCAGTAGTCAGTCTATGAGAATTGTGAGGATTGGGTGGGACTGACTATTGCTCAATAACAGCAGTCAGTTCCTGCTGGATAATGTGCCTGAAAGAGTGTCATGGAAGAAATTACTTTAACAAGAGACTGAATGAGAAGAAATAAGAAATCGATTACAACTTTGCAAGGTGAGAACAGAAATACAGAGTCAAAGGAGACTGTCAAGTCTGCTCTGACTAACAGTGGATCTGGCTTCCTTGATCCTGCAGGATCAAGGAGCTCTCCCCTGCTGTTATACGACACTGTAGAAGTCTATGTGAGAGCAGCTTGACCAATCTCATGATAAGACTATGTAGAAATACCTAAAACAGAAGGGTGAGGAGCACGTTATAACATCTTCCATTGCAAAGAGTCAAATCTAGTCGAGTTTATTTGTATAGGACATTTCAGCAACAAGACAGCTTAAAGAGCTATACATCAGAAAAACATCATGCAGTCATCAATTATGAAACAAGCAATAAACATTACATTTTGTCAAAAGCCATAATCAAAATCATCAACTTAATAGCCTATTGATCAATGTTATTAGTAATCAAAAGTCATCTCTAAAAAAGAGGGGATTTAGCCTTGATTTAAGGAACTCAGAGTTTCAGCTGTTTTGGAGTTTTCTAAAACTTTGTTCCGGATATGTGGTAACAAAAACAAGCCCAGGTGTCCATGTGACCTGAACTGCATAATTATGTTTCAACGCAAAGTTGGTAGGAGCTCGTCCTGCGATAGGTGAGCTGCCGGTTGAGTCCCTGGTCCGTCCGCTTCTGTCGTTGTGTCCTTGGGCAAGACACTTCACCCACATTGCCTGCTGGTGGTGGTCAGAGAGCCCAGTGATGGCTCACCAGACAGACTTTGCCACCATCAATGTGTGAAAGTGTGTGTGAAGCGCTTTGGGATCCTCTGGACTTGATAAAGCGCTATACAAGTGCAGGCCATTTTACCATTTAGCATGAAGATTTCAGAGTTGTTTCCGGTGTGCAGTGTCAAAAAGATCTCACTTCCTGCCACAAGGCTTACAAGATTTCTTATAAACATCTTGAGTCCCCTTTTCCTCACTTTTGTGACACATTGTTGCAAAAATGCAGAGGTATTCAAATGAATGTCGCAAATAAATACGTTTTTCAAACAGAAACCGTTTCAACACTCAGAGCTTGCTATGATAGCACCAAACATGGCTGGATGTGAGGCCGTAGTTCTCCTGCCTAACACTCTCAGGCAACTCAAACTGGGCTACGTGATGCAGGAGCTTCCGGATGTCATGTCCCTCAAACTGGGTTCTACCAGGATCCCCAATCAGGACTTTGGAGCCGTGGCTTTTGATGCAGCGGTCCAGCCATTTATGAAGGCTGTCTGACAGCGTTTCGTCGTAGAACATGTCGCCAAGGAGGATCAAGTCAAAGCTGGCAGGATCCGAACCAATTATGTCGTCTGTCACGCAATCTGGCGGCTCTACTTTGTTCAGTTCACAATTCAACTTGGTCACAACAGCTGCAACTGAAACAGAAACAGGTAAGTTTAGCCATGCAAAATATTGCGACGCTCCATAACTAATGGATAATGTCTGCGTTTTTTTAAATTAAACTGTAAGATTTTAAAAATACATAAATATACATAATGTAATTAAAGATACATAATATAATTAAAGTGATCGTTTTGGGTAAAGATCTACAGCCATCGTTCTCAAAGTATTAAGTACCACCACAGAAAACACTTATATTTCAAGGGCCTTCATTGTTACTGTAAAATAAATTAGCGTAGCATTTAAATGAGCACCAAAATGTTTTAATAAACAGAGTGGTAATCTGGCTTCATAAACACAACTCCTATTTAGACACACTCCAACTTTCACCATTTTAAGCAAAAAGTACAAAGTTCAGCATTGATTGACAAAAGATATTTCTATAATGTGTCGTGAAACCTGGTTGGGACTGATTGAGATCTTTCCAGAACACACAGAAAACGGGTCAGAGGCCGAAGCAACAAGTAATCTGGCATTATGATCTAATGATGATTGAAATTTATGTAAGCTTGTTTTGAATATACTATTAATTAAAGTTATGAGTTATGTGATTAGATTAGATGTGGAAAAGCAGAGATCATAAATGAATAAAAGTAATGACTGTAGATTAGATGAAAATTAGACAGAAGTGTCTTTTACTGTGTCGCAACAAGAGGTTGGGTGGAGGCAGAACTGTTAGCATGGAAGAAAAGGAAGTTCAAGAGTTTGAAAGGTCGGCAGTTAATCGAAAACGGCCAACGCCTAGGAAAAAGGGGAAGTTGGGTGGAGAGGATTGTGCAAGCCGCTGAGGCGTTCATCCATCACTAAATTAAGAAGAGCATAAAACACATGAGAAGGAAGAACTGGTGTTCTTTGTTCCGCAGCGTTCGAGTCAAGATCACACGAAGATGCAGAATCAACTGAGGGCTAGGTGCTGATACCCCGGGACGGTGAAGACTGCGCGCTGCTCAAGAAAGGAACAAGATCCGTTTACCCACAATCAGGGATTCTGATTTGACAAAGGCCCTACACTCAACCCAAAAGATTTCAACTATGCTGCAGTGGACATGGGGTATAGACAAAGATCACCTGGATAAAGAACTGAGTTCACAGAGGATATTCATCAGTTCAACTTTGGATCTATTCTAAAAAGGATACTGCCATGACAAGACAGGATTCCAACCACGGATATTAAAGTTTTCTGCTGCCAAGACCAACTCAGCATCGGGGGACGAGTGGATCTGATCTAAAAGATCTGCATCTTTTAGATCAGTGACACAGTATAGGGACTGGAGGGAAGTGTGATTACTAAATTTCTTACATATATAAATCTTTTAATTTTTGATTAAAGAAGCTATATGTCATTTTCCCCTGCTAAAGCTTGCTAATAAAATATTAAAGTCTAAATTGATGATGTGGACAGTTAAATTAATTGAGTCAATTGAAAATTAATTCTTCTGATTAGTATAAAACTAATGTACATGACCTAGTAATTTGGTGGCTTCAGACATTTCTTTGGTGAGGGTAAAATAATGACCTTGGGATTCATGCCGAGTCTCTAAAATTATCTAGACTGTAACAAGTGCACGTTATTAATAGAGAATGAACTACCGTTAACACACGGTTTCTGAAAGCAGGCAACTACAGGCTACTTAGATGTCTGTTTCATTAACTGAAAAGTGTCATAACTTCTGGATCTGAAGGTAGTTAGACTCTAGACGCATCTTTCTCGCTTCCAGCTTAAATAGAATGTCCTCTATATTCTCGTCTGTAGTAATACTCAGGAGTTAGGGGCTTCTCAGACCCGTTAGGCGGAGAGCTGGACAGTAGTCAGTCTGCTAGAGTCGGAGGGGTGGTAAGGGCGTAGCTGACCATTAGGTAATAACAAATGCTAAAATGTTAAATGCAAAAAACAAAACAACACAAACAAAAAAACAAACAGTAACGAGATGGACAGATGGCTGGTTGGACTGAGGCCTGTATGGATGGGTGGAAGGATGATAAAAGTATTGGATAGGAAAACCAGACCTACAGATAGATGGACGGGTTATGCAGCAATGGATGTCAGCAAAACAACTGATGATGATGGATAAATGGCTGAAAGGGTGGCTGGAGGGAGGAAGGGATGCAATGTTTAGGAAGAGGCAGAGTTAATCTGGAAATGGAAAGAATGACCATACTTCTCTTGGTCTTGTGGAAAATATATTATGAAGAATGAGGAAATGTTCTTTGTTGAATGTTATGTTGACATATAATCATAAATTTACGTTGCTGGTCATGTAAGGCACGAGAGGGATCCTGCATGTTTTGACAGCCTTAAAGATTGATCCGCATCCCATTGCCATAGAAGGCTTAGGGATGCCATTATGATAATGTTGAAGAACAAAGCAGATCACAAGGGGAAAACAACAGGCATGATCACGACAGAGATGGGCCGGGAGCAACAAAGAGGGAGTTGTTCTTATGTATAATGAGACTTCAGATCTCACTGGAGTTTCCATGAGGCAACTTTGTACACATTTTGATGTGTAACTGGATCTCCAAGATATATCTTGTACTTTTACTAAACTTTGGTTGATTTTAACTGACTGGCTCTTCTGGAATCTCCTGCATTAACGAACGTGAGCTGGAGGCGAGTGAGTCTCCAACAATCTGGAAACTTCTTAAAATAAATATTCCTGCTTTCCCTGCTTGAACACAACTCCCTCTGTTTAGAAACTTGCTATAAATCAGCAGATTGCAGATACTGAACAGTAACTTTGATGTTTAAATCTATTTTTTGAAACCACAGGCAGTCTAAGTTTGATATGGGGCTAAAAATATTTACATTTCCAAACCTTTTTATGATCTTACAAAAAAAAAAGCGTCAATAATAATAATAGTTGTTGTTACAGTGAGTTGATTTTGATTCTTGGTTTTGATTTTATATCCACGTGTAGTTATAACATTTTTCCGAGGGGGTTCTCGGTAATATTATTATTCATATCTGAATTACTGAAATAAAATTACGATTGGAAGCAATTAAGAATAATCGATGCGGCATACCGGGGTCGATATCATTGGCCACCACATGAGCAGCACCACAGAGTTTAGCAGCGATGGCTGAAGCTCCACAGCCGCTCCCCAGATCCAGCACGGATCCATCCCGACACACATCAGGGTTGTCCAGGATGTACCTACCAGAGCATGGCAGCAACAGGAATGTTAAAAGCGAGATGTCAAGCCCAACAAACTTTATTTATAGTGAGGATTGTGCAGGACCTTGACAGCGCCTGTCCTCCTGGCCAATAAATTGCCCAGTACGGGTCGCTGAAAGGCCAAAGTTCTGGTCTTTCTCTCCAGAACCTGCAGTTGGGAGTAAACAATCTCAGTTTTATCTCAGGCGTCAGGCTCCCTCCCACAACTACCTCCGTGTTCTCTGATATAAAACGTCTGACGTTCTCATATGAAAGACAGGATTCTGAGGTGCGTCTCCGTCTGCTTGTTTGCGCATAAGGCTTTGAAAATCCTTTAACACATCGGTAACATTTAGGTGCCGATAGAAATCCACAGTATCGCGTTGTTGATGGAAAAAGCCACATAACTAAAAGTCAAACGTTTCTCTTTCTTGAGCAGCCGTCCCAGCAGCCCCCAGAAAGCAAGACATGGAACTTTCGTTCCGCTCAGTAAGGTTCCTGCCAAGGGAAGAGTTTGTGTCCGCCATTTTGTGAGTGGCAGATTCGTTTAGTTTTTAATATTTTAATAATAAAGTTATAAAAATGCAGTTATAGGCAAGTGGTGACGCCACTAGTTCTTCCATTAGGTACCCAGAAGGCTAAAATAATAATGTAATTTCTAATAAAATATAATAAATCAACAAAAAGTACTTTTCCGCAATTGTCTTAGAGCTTTCTTGAGGAGCTCTGCACAGCATTACCAGCTGCGGGTTTGTCGCTGATGTTAGAGAGACTTTGATCCTGATAAGCTTACATGTGCAAAAGAAAAACAAACAGACAGTTTTTCAGAATTTTGACATTTTTACAGGCAGGTTTCTTTCATTCAACACTTGAAGATAATATAATAATGTTTGCTCTTGCTGAAAGAACTCACTGAGGATCAAATAGATGAAGAGGTGACTTACATAAAAAAAATAATTGTTGGAGGAGTAAAATACTGCATAAATGTTAAACTGGAGCAGATGTTCAGTATGTATTTCCGAATGGAGATTTCTTTCTCTTTTTTACAACTTTACCCAGTTTAAAATCAGTTCAGAACTAGATTGGCTTTGTGCACCACACAGACTTTATTATGTTTTAATGTAAAAAATCAAACACTGTGAACTAATAAATGGGTTACTCCACCCCTATTTAAGCAGCCTTTGTTCTTTGTTTGGTAGGTCAGTTTTGTTTGTGTTCAGTTAGAGTTCAGTTGACCTCAGT